TTTGAAAAATGCTTGTTTTGATGTTATTAGTCTGAGAGTTTAGAAAACATTAATAATAATTTTGTTGTTTCCCACTTAGAATTCTCTTGATGAAAGATGAATCTGTTTTAAAGAATCTAGTACAACAAGAAGCCAAGAAGAAAGAATCTGTCCGGAATGCTGAAACAAAAATTACAAAACTTACTGAACAGCTTCAAGCAACTGAAAAAATTCTCAGCGTTAACAAAATATTTTTGAAGAAGCTTCAGGAACAAGTAATAGTTCTTTTAAAAATTAAGAAATCGTAGTCTTGTGATTACAACACATTTTTATAGGCCAAATTTTCTATAAGACAAAAAAGACAAGCTAAAGTCATCAAAATGTATGTAATACAGCTTTTCTTTGAGATGTAATATTGGAATATTTTTATTTTCAGTCAAATACCCTAAAACTGCTGTGTTTAAGAAAATATCTCCTTTCATAAGATTATCATTTACATCCTCAGAAATTTCTTATATTTCCAGATTCACAAAGTTCAACAGCGTGTTACAATTAAGAAAGCTTTAACTCTGAAATATGGAGAAGAGCTTGCTCGGGCAAAGGCAGTGGCCAGTAAAGAATTAGGAAAACGTAAACTGGAACAAGATCGCCTTGGAGTAAGTTGGAGAAAAAAAATTTTCTTTTAAAAAGGGGGATCGAACTCAGGACCTTACACTTTCAAGGCAGGTGGCAGGCACCGCTGAGCTAAATCCCTGGCCTTGGAGAAATACTTTTGGAAAGTGGGTTCTTAAGATACTTCTGATACTAAGAGTTGTATAAAGTAACTCATATGCTTTCTTACAAATTTAGAGAGTAAGATTAAAGCTTTGTTTTTAAATGACATCTGCATTTCGGGGTACTTTTTATTTTGTCTTGACTTTAGTTTTAGTAGGCTATACATTAAGTAGAATTGTTGGGAGACTTCAGTGAAACGCTGCTTTATTGTCATTAGTTCTGTAATGTCATTGTATTATAACAGTTATTGTATCAAAAATTGTATATAAAATCAAAGTGATATAAAATATATCATTTTTCTCCCCCAGCCAAACAAAATCATGAGACTGGATAATTCTCCAATATCAAGTCCAAGAAAGCACTCAGCAGAACTAATTGCTATGGAGAAAAGACGACTACAAAAGTTGGAATATGAATATGCCCTTAAAATTCAAAAATTAAAAGAAGCCCGAGCCCTTAAAGCAAAGGAACAACAAAATATGGCTCCAGTGGTGGAAGAGGAACCCGAATTTTCTTTACCTCAGCCATCACTTCATGATCTGACACAAGATAAATTAACCCTAGACAGTGAAGAAAATGATGTTGATGATGAAATTTTGTCTGGTTCAAGCAGAGAACGAAGAAGATCCTTCTTAGAATCTAATGCTTTTACTAAACCTAACCTTAAGCACACTGATACACCTAACAAAGAATGCATAAACAAACTTAGTAAAAACACGGTAGAAAAGCCAGAACTTTTTCTAGGATTAAAAATTGGTGAATTACAGAAATTATATTTGAAAGCTGACAGTTTAAAACAATTGATTTTAAAAACCACCACAGGCATTACAGAAATGATTCTGCATGGTCAGGTAAGTGAACATTTTATATTCTTTATGAGGTCTGAAATTCATTTTAGCCTTATTTACCTTATAAAATTATTATTATTACACAGGAGATTTCTTTGGATGTGGATTTTGCTACAGCACAGAGTAAAACCACAGAAGTAAAGCCATGTCCTTTTACACCCTACCACAGTCCTCTTCTGGTTTTTAAGTCCTACAGGTATGAAAGATTCAGTAAGCTTGAATTTCAGGGTAACTAGTTTATTCTTGTAATATTTTACCTTGAATATTTGACGACTTAAAAAGTAATTGAGTTTTGGTCACTGAAAGGTGGACCTGTTCTCTTAGGGGAAATAAAAACTTAAGTAGCTCTTTATTGTACTCAAAACATTCAAGAGGTGAGGTTTACCTCATACTTAGATTTATCACTTATCAAATTCTAATTAATGTGGACTGTAGATTTGTGTCTCAGGGATTTTAGGAAAAAACAATTGCAGTCTTGTAAGATTTTTAGAGTTTTTAATTTTACTACTTTTTAAGGAGTGTATTAGTCAGCCTTTATGAAGTTAATTTAGGCATTCTCGGATGATTAACTTTGTGAGAGGATGTCCTGAAATATTTTCAGATGATTCAAAGTTGTGAGACCATTAAATGGGTAAGGTTTAATGATAAAACTATGAAGCCCTACTGAGTATTTAGCTCAGTGGTTCCTCTGCCTGCCTTACAAGTGCAAGGTCCCAAGTTTGATATCTGGTACCAAAAAAAAGAAGCTATAGGCTTCCAAAGTGCTATAGGCTGTTTTTTTTGTTTGTTTGTTTGATTGTTTTGTTTTTAATGTTCGTTGGTAATGTGTACAACAAATACTAATACAACACTACTTTTAGAATGCAGTGTTCTTTTATTTCCTGTTTCAGATTGCCTAATGTTCCCAATACAAAGTAGCTTACTCCTATCACTTTGATAGTCTGGCTGTTTCTAGAGTTAATTTTGGTATTATATAAATAGCTCAAAGCATTGGTTTTTTTGGGCAGTGGGGGGGAAACAGGATCTCCCTGTGTAGTTTAGGTTGGTCTTGAACTGACTAAGTGCTTGTCTCTGAAAAAGAGGAACAAGGGTGTTCCTCTTGCCTTAGCCTCACATATTCTGGGATCCCAGGCATGTACCACCACACCTGGCCAGAAATGTTAACTAAGAAAAGTTTTTTTTTCTGGTTTTCTAAGCAATGTTTATGGAGCAATAATGTAGCTTATCCATTCTCTTCTTAGATTTAGTCCATACTATCGAACAAAGGAAAAACTTCCATTAAGCTCGGTATCATACAGTAATATGATTGAACCAGATCAGTGTTTCTGCCGTTTTGACTTAACAGGAACATGTAATGATGATGATTGTCAGTGGTGAGTAGTTTTTAATGAACATTTTATGATTTAAGAGAAGATCTTGTTTAGCTTTGTACATAATTATCTTTTCCATGTTGTCCTTTTAGGCAGCATTCACAAGACTATACACTTAGCCGAAAACAGCTATTCCAGGACATTCTGTCGTATAATCTATCTTTGATTGGTTGTTCAGAGACAAGCACTCATGAAGAAATTGCTTCTGCAGCAGGTTTTTAAAGATTTCTTATTCTTCCCCAAGAAAATTTGAATTTAGACAATTTAAAACTTTTATATATATCAAGAACTTTATAATAGTTCAGTACTTTCACTTAGGAATCTTATCTAGATCTGCTGTCTGATACAATAACTACTACTGTTACTCTTTAAATTTAAATCAATTAAATTTTTAAAATTTACTTTGTCAATGACAGTAGTAGCTATGTTTCAAGTGCTCATTAGCCATGTGTGTGGCAAGTGTATACCAAAAGGACAGCGGCAGGATGGCGGAGATTTCCAAAATTGCAGAAAGTTCTTTGGACAGAGTCCCATCTAAATAGTTCAGTTTCTTTAGAAGAAAATATCTATTTGTATAGGCATTACAGATTTTAATATAGACTTTATTTTTTCAAAAATAGAAGAGAGCTGCAATTTAAGATTGCTGTAGTTTCAAATTATTATTGAAGTAGAAGAGGACCTTACACACTTTGACATTGTAGAGAGTATAGATTCCTGTCAGACACTGTGAAAAGGTATTGTTTTCCCCTGGATTTCAGTTCCAAATAATAAACCTTAACAAGTCTTTGGAAGTAAGGAATTAACATTAAGTTTAGTAGATAATTATCATAACCCAGGAGTGATTGACAATTCACCAAATCTGTTCTATTATTTTCAGCTTGGGGTGTTAACTTTTATGTAATTAGTTCATTTCAAAATTTCTTTTTCAATTTAATTTGGGTATTTGGTGTGTTAGGATTTGCTACAGTATTTAGTCTAATGTAGGCCTTGAAGGTCTTAGGCGTTACTAATACTGTACATGTTTCTTTAAATGTTAAGCTATCCTTTGCTTAGTACTCTTTAATTAGTGTAGTTCGGTGAGTGTTATTGAAGATAACATTCCTCTTTCAGAAAAATATGTTGAGAAACTTTTTGGAGTAAACAAAGATCGAATGTCAATGGATCAGATGGCTGTTCTCCTTGTTAGCAATATTAATGAAAGTAAAAGTCACAGTAAGTATATATGTGTGTATGTTTGTGTATGTATATAAATAGGAACTTTTCTAAATTTGTTTATGTGATGCGTAGGATTCATCTAAGGACTTAGTGCATGCTAGGCAAAAACGGTCTTTAGCTGGGCATGGTGGTACATGCCTGTAATCCCAGTAACTCGGGAGGCTGAGGCAGGAGGATTGCAATGCGTTCAAGGCCAGCCTGAGCTACATAGTGAGTTTATGGCCAACCTGAACTACATCATGAGACCCTGTTTCAACAAAACCAAAAAAAAGAAAGGATCTTTTAGTTTCCCTGTATCAGCAAATTTTTTGGCATTCTGTTCTGTAAACTGAAGATTATTTCTGAGCAACATGATAAAATAAATGTATTTTTTTGCTAGTGTTGTTTGGAGAGCCTTCAAAACGGTAAATACATCAGCTAACAATCTTCTGTCTACTTTAGCACCTCCATTTACAACCTACAAAGATAAAAGAAAATGGAAGCCAAAGTTCTCGAGAAAACCTGTTTCAGAGAATAGCTTCAGTAGTGATGATGAACAGTCTACAGGACCAATTAAGTATGGTAAGATGTTAGGTAATTTAAGACCTAGAATTATTTAATTGTGGTATTCTACCTTAGTCTAAATACTAATCTTTTGGTGTATCTCCTGGCCTAGTTTAAAATTTTTAAAAATTTTTCTTAAAATTGATGTCATTGAGAGTTATAGTATAGTTCTTCATTATGCAAGATTTTCCTGGTATGACAGAATATTTTGCATTCATGGCTCCAGTTGATTAATGCAGGGAACACTGCTTAATAAAGCTGACTGCTTAATTTGCTCACTTTGGCAGCACACACACTAAAATTACACTGATGACAGAGAAGATTAGCATGTCCCCTGAGCAAGGATGACATGGCAAATTCATGAAGTGTTCCAATTTTTTTTTTCTGTTTTTGGTACCAGGAATTGAACTCAGGGCCTTGTGATTACAGGAGGTAATGGTATTACTCTCACTTGGAAACCACTTCCTGGCTTATGTCCTCCTTGAGGATAGGTGTTCTTTTTTACTTATCTTTGAGACTATTTCTGGTATAAAGTTGGCTTATAAAATGAGTGAATGAATGAACAAAGGACCAAAGTAATGGCCTGAATAAGGACCTTATTGTCAGGTACATCTGGTTGTTCATACTTCAAGCTTTTGTAATTTATTAATTGTAGATTAGTAGCTACCCATGCTAATGCTTATTTGCATTAATGTAACACACAGTTGAGGTCAGTGGTGGCAAACCTATGGCACACATGCCACAGCAGGCTATTTGTTATCATTGAAAGCTCTAAATGGTTTGCCATAACAGGTTAGATGTAGTAGAAGAAATCATCTATATAAATTTTATCTTCCAGTTTATTGGAACTAAATGAACTATCAGATGATATCATTTGCCCTTAAAACAGGGAGATTATACGTCTGGTTTGCAACTAAAATCCTGACTTGGTCCTCTTGTCCTGATGTACTTTTTAAAAATTAATTTTATTGGTATATTTTAGGTATATAATATGACATTCGTCATTGGAGATTTGTACCTTTGTATAATATATCTTGATTCTTTTTTTCCCCATTTCCCTGCCCTCCCTTCAACCCCTCTCCCTCTATTTACAAAGACTTTGTTTCCATTTTTCTCCCATCCAAGTACTAACCAGGCCTGACCCTGCTTAGCTTTGAGATCAGACAAGATTGGGCACGTTCAGGGTGGTATGGCCGTAGACTATTTCCATTTTTCTGATGTAATTTTTAATGTCATTAATTTTCACTCAAGATGTGCCCAGGTATGGATGTTAAATTTTGATATTTCTGCTTTAAAGCTACAAACTATTGCTCATCATTGCTTTAGGTGTCTGTCTTTTTGGCTTTTTGAGACAGGGTCTTGCTAAGTAGTTCAGGCTGGCCTCGAACTTGGAGGGATCCTCTTGCTTCATCCTCCTGAGTACTGTGGCCTGTGCCACCATGCCCAGCTAGGTTTCTCATTTATTTTAAAGATGAGACCAGTTGTTTTTTTCTTGGTTCTATAAATTAAAGGAAGAATAAAGGTAACAATATTTTTTCCTTGTAGCTTTCCAGCCAGAGAACCAAATAAATGTTCCAGCTTTGGATACGGTTGTTACTCCAGATGATGTTAGATATTTTACAAATGAAACTGATGACATTGCTAATTTAGAAGCAAGTGTACTTGAAAATCCATCTCATGTCCAACTTTGGCTCAAGCTTGCATATAAGTACTTGAATCAAAATGAGGGGTAGGTTGCTTCAAATCTTTGTGTAAAGTATTGCACATCTGTATTTTTGTGTGAGGTTTATTTCACTTGTAATCAGGTTTTCTTTTTAGCTATCAGTGGAGTCTTTGACAAAGCAGAAGTATTTTATTGTTTGGAAGCTATAAGAAAAGTTTGAGATTGGGCCTTGAGTTTGTATTCATGGCTGAATTTATGAATAATACTTAAGTGTTTAAAATCTTAAAAGTAAATTTATTTAAAATACCAAATTCTGAGTTGCCGAGCGATTAATTTAAAAATCAAGTAATTTCTTAATAAAATAATGATAAAATTACAATAATAACAGGTTAAATTTCATTATTTTCTAATGGAGATTTAAAGTTTATCTAATAACCTCTAAATTCTGGTGAATTGTCTTTTTTTTCTGTGGTATTAGAATGCAAATATTCAAGTAAACTAAGTAGTAATTTATTTCAAAACTGATACCTCTTGTTAGACCTTTATCTAATTTCTACTTTTTGATAGTAGAGGCAAACCAGAGTGCTAGGGTTCAAGCTCATTGTCTTATATATGCGAGGCAAGAGCTGTGCCCTATCCTACATCCTCAGCCAGCCCTATAATTGTAAAGTATAATAATTCATGTTTTTTTAATAGGCTACTCTAATAAATCTGTATCAAAATTTAGTATAAAAGTTTTAAAATAAGAATTATGAAGTGCTAAACACATATGCCTGAATATGGTACTTATTTAACTTTCCTTGTATGTCATTTCCATCATAATAGGGTAAGTTACAGTGTTTTCTGACTCACTGACTGAGTGAAGGCCAAAAGAACTGTGCATTATTTTATGAATAGGTTCCTGAGAGAGAATTATCTTCTCCAAGAGATAGCAAGCCCTTGACTGTTGAAAAGAACTATTATATTGAAAGCTTTGATATTTTGTGCTGGCAGTAGATGGCCTTGAAAGAGAGTTGTTTAACTTTTCCTGTTCCCAAACAGTGTAAACCATAAAAGGTATTGCTTACTATGGACATAGAGCATATTTGAAGTTGATAATCTTAGTGGTTTTATAACACTGTTTTTTATCTGGTAAATGCTTACAGAACATCCACTTAAAAAGGAGTTGTTGGGTATGTGGGAAATCAGGATTTTTTTGACATGTAATTTAAAATCTTGATTTACTATTCTTTGTGATTCTGGCTTCTTTTTAGGTTCTAATACAAAAAAGAATTTAGAAATTGACTGATTTATTTAGCCCTATTTAAATTTTCAAGCATAAAATGAAACACTCCTGCCTCTTCTTTCAAATATGTAGGCTATGCTCAGAATCCTTAGATTCTGCTTTAAATGTACTAGCTCGAGCATTGGAGAACAACAAAGACAATCCAGAAATTTGGCGCCATTACCTCAGATTGTTCTCAAAAAGAGGAACTAAGGAAGAGGTGCAAGAAATGTGTGAAACAGCTGTGGAATATGCTCCTGATTATCAAACCTTTTGGACTGTGAGTAGAAAAGATAAGTCATGTGGTGTACATAATTCTTTCAGGCATTTTAAATATTGATAATAGATTATGTGCTTCATCTGGATATAGATAAAATAACTTTCTAATAACCTCAAAGGTACTTCTGGGTTTGGATTAAGTTAGACTAAACAAGAAAATATTTAATGAAAGGGTGATTTTGGTTGTTAATTTTATTGGTAAGGAAAAATATATAATTATTGAATATTTTACACTTAACCTATCCTTATACACTTGTAATTTGGGCAGTTTAGTGTAGTTTTGCAATTCATCTGGAAGTATTTTTCTTTTAATTTTCTTACATATACAAAATTGTCATGAATGCCAGGAAATATTTTGATCTTTTATTGTCTGCATTGCTTATGGAAATAACCCAAGGCTCTAATTTACACTGATCAAACATTATCAGAATACTAAGATTTAGTACAAAAATAAATACTTCCACTTTTTCCTAGAGAATGGGATTTTTCTTATCCAGACTTAACGACTGAACCACTTGTAAAATAAAACTTGTTCATATCTGAACTTTTTATCAGATGTACCCAGGAACCAAATAGATTCAGATAAACTTTCAGATAAATCTATCATTTCAGAAATTTTTATTTTTATTTTTTAAATGTGCTGGAGATCAGAACTAGGGCTGTGTGCATACTAAGCACATGCTTTGCCACTGAAATAATCTCCAACCTCATCAAATAGATTACAGTATCAAGTTGGTTTTCATTGGTTTGTAGCAAGTCTTGCTGTATTGCCCAGGCTGTCCTCAGACTTCTGGGCTTAAGCAATAGCTCCTTGAGTAGCTGGGACTGCTGGTATGTACCACCATACCCCAGATCTATTTGCTTTTTAACTAAAATTTAAACCCACATAGGTTTGGATAACGCAGGTACTGAACAGTTTTAGATAGTGAAGGATGCTTCATGTTTGACCTGTAGGCTTGTACAACTATTGATGCTATTGATCACTGCAGGTTTTTATAGGATATAGAGTATTTCAAAAGATGCAGTGTTTTTCCTTGAAGTTGTTTGGCTTTGTATGTATTTTGCCATACATTTTTAATGTGGATGCTATTGTCAGAAATTTTACACAGTCACATACCTAAGCAATGCAAATTATATGTGATCATAACCATGTGAACTTTTATATATTTACCATGGCCTCGTTGAAGTTTACCTGTTGATTCTGTAAACGGAGAGAGGAAATTGTTTCAGTGATGATGCTAAAATATATCTGTATTGTTTTAGTTTTCATCTAGTTTTACCTGCAGCAGGTGAGAGAAGGTGAAATCAAGGTTATCACACCAGAAGATAATGAAATAGTTTATATTTTTTTAGTTACTCCTTTTATAGAAATTTGATGAGACATTTTCTTAATTAAATATAAAAAATTTGTAGTTTTAATTTATTCCTATAAAGCAGTACTGATTATATAAAACTCCTTTGGGCAGTTTCTACATCTAGAGAGCACCTTTGAAGAAAAAGATTATGTATGTGAGAGAATGGTGGAGTTTCTAATGCGAGCAGCCAAGCAGGAAGCATCAGATATTCTGTCTTTCCAGCTTTTAGAGGCCCTTTTGTTTAGAGTTCAGCTGCACATATTTACTGGAAGATGCCAAAGTGCACTTGCAATTTTACAGGTAAACATATTCTAGTATGAATTTCGTTTTGGAGAAAAATGGTTAAAAGTTATGTAATGGTAAGAGCACTAATTTTGGATTTGAGTCTTGGTTTTGCCACTTCCTGGTAACTTGTGTGAATCTGGATAAGTCTCTGTTTTCCTCATTGTTTGGTGAGGATAATAGCTCTAAAATTTTTTAAAGATTTTTCTTAATTACCAGATTAACTTCAAAATTCAAGCTACAATAGAAAAAAAAAAAAATCAGTCCAAAATGAAAGTATCTATGGCTGGATTTTTTTGAGTGTGCTTTACTGTTTTGTCTTTATCTTATTAGATTTTAAGTATTATTAGGACACTTAAAATATACAAATAAATTATGTCAAACTTCAAGATCATGAAAATTATGTTAATATGCTATTGACATCTCTAAGGAGAATTTTCATTAAAAAATTGGTGACTATAGGGCCAAGGATTTGGCTCAGTGGTTCTGCCTCCTGCCTCACAAGCACAAGGTCCAGAGTTCGATCCCTGGTTTAAA